CCATCTTGCTTTTCTGCTACTCCCCTCAAAAGGTCAGAAAGAAGATGAGGCATCTTCGTGCAAGCTTTCAGAGCTCTGTGGCTATGTAAACCCTCTTGCATATAAAAAAAGTTTTGCAAAAATCCCCTACTGCTACTTATTATTATAGTTTTGGCAGTACCAGGCGCTGTATTGTAGTGCTCTGGGCAACATGGGTGAGACGTGAGCCTAACAAAAGTCCACGAGAGTTTTGTCTTTGATCGCGCAGCAGCCAGGGTTTCTCTCAGCTGTTACAAACCCAGCCAGTGTGGTAACGAGGAGCACACACAGGTTGCTGAGACTGGATTTTAAAGGGAAAAAACTCACACGTGCACTGTGTCTTTATGTGGATTTACTGTTCTTCCTGAAACTCTTCTTCCTTTACTGAAGCCGAGTATTCCTCGAGCTGGGAGTTTTTAGAATATAATGAATGCTTTTTAAAAAAATTGATCTCATCCAGTCTTCATATAAGCAACTTAATCCTGTGCTGAAAATCTCTCAAATCTTAACAACTCTCATGAGATCCCAGTAATGCAGGTTTCAGGTATCTCATCCTGTGAGGAGCAGTCATGGATGGAGAACTCCAGTCAAAACGTGGCCAGTTCTGGCTTGTTCAGAGCATCCTGCGGCATCCTGACTGCAGTGTGCTTCAGCAGGGAAAGGGACAGTCGTGGTCATGTAGCCAGCGTGGTCTGAGTTTGGTAATGCTGCTGCCTTTTAAGCTCTTCAGTAAGTTTAATGCTTGGATAAAATATTTTTCAGGGAAATCTTAAACTCAGCCTGGTGATTCCTAGCTTAAGACTCCAAAGTATAGATTAAAAGGTGATTTAGGGAGATAATGAACATGAATAAACCCAAAACTTTACTGTGTTTTTAACGTGTGCTTCAAATGCTGTGTGTATGGCTGAAAAGTCTGGAGGAAATCGTGGCACGTGTACAGCCAGCACCGCACTGCAGACGTCTCGCTGTCATGCATGGAGTGTGCTCCATTGATTTGGTGTCTTGCTCATAATTTGAGGGTTCTTAAATAGCCTGATCAGGGTGCATTTGTTTGGAAATTTAGTGTGGGGAGAAAAAAGTAACAGTCTATATTGTATCAACTGCTCTAAATGCATTACTGTGGGCTACTGAAATGTGAGACACTTATTAACAATGGCAGTTTTCCATATGATTTCCTGAATAATTTGTCATGTTCCGATTTGCTGAATCATCAGGTGTAGAATAGCCAATTATTTCGTTTAATTTTTAAAAATAATTCTTTAAATTAAAACCTGTATCTTTAAACCTTATCAAGGAAGAGTTGATGTTAATTTTGCTATTTTTTGGGGGGACGGGGAAAAAGCTAAAAGACATTTGCTGTTGAAGAAGATTTTAAAGTAAAGGAAATGCATTTGCAGAAGTTGAAGATAGTGCAGGGTTAGAGGAAGCTGGAGGCTTCCTGTATGACTTTGAACAGATCACTTAACTGTACTGGCTCAGTTTTCTTACTGATATAAGGGGGGCAGTGAAGAGATACAGGTAGTTGAAAAGTACCACCTAGTTGCTTTACATAAACATTTTTTGGAAGGCAGAAATCATCATTTGAGGGCAAAAGATTTGCAAAAATGGTGCTCTCAATGCATGTGACACTTCAGGATGCCCATGAGCCAGCACTGTGCCCTTGCGGCCAAGAAGGCCAATGCCATCCTGGGGTGTATCAGAAGGGGTGGTTGTAGGACAGAGAGGTTCTCCTTCCCTCTACTCTGCCCTGGTGAGACCTCATCTATAACACTGTGTTCAGTTCTGGGTCCCTCAGGTCAAGAAGGACAGGAACTGCTTGAAAGAGTCCAGCGCAGAGCCACAAAGATGATGGAGGGAGTGGAGCATCTCCCTTATGAGGAGCGGCTGAGGGAGCTGGGTCTCTTTAGCTTGGAGCAGAGGAGACTGAGGGGAGACCTCATTCATGTTTATAAATTTGTAGAGGGCGAGTGTCAGGAGCAAGGAGCCAGGCTCTGCTCTCTGATGTCCAATGCCAGGACAAGGGGCAATGGGTGCAAGCTGGAGCATAGGAGGTTCAACCTGAACATGAGGAAAAACTTTTTCATTGTGAGGGTTACAGAGCATGGCCCAGGCTGCCCAGAGAGGTTGTGGAGTCTCCTTCTCTGCAGACATTCAAAACCAGCCTGGACGTGTTCCTGTGTGACCTGGTCTGGTGATCCTGCTCTGGCAGGGGTTGGACTGGATGAGCTTCAGAGGTCCCTTCCAACTCCTAACATTCTGTGATTCTGTGACATCTGTTACCATGTGTAGCTTTATCTCTTATAACAGGGATATAAAACATAACAAGAATTTGGGGTTATATATTTGGAAAATGGTTGAACTAAAAAAACACCAACAATATTGCAGTGAAATCTCCAAAATGTGGTGTAGCTGTATTTACCAAACAGTCACTTGACATTGGGTCCTCTGTTTCACTATTTAATAATGATCAGTAATGCCCATTTTACATCTCAGTGCCTGCTTTTCTTGTATGTACTCCCAGCAACTTGTAGAGTTTATTTTACAGAGAAAGCAAATTTGGGAATAGCAGGGATGGCTTGTACAAAATTAAAATTACATTATTGATTAGCTACAAAGTGCTTTAAAAATTTGAGCTCAAGGGTATTCCTGTTACATGCTTTGATTCCAAGTTCATCCTTTAGCCCCTATATACAGTTGTGTTCTGTTAAATTAACCTGGCGTCTTGTTTCCCCGAGGTTTATGGGTCATTGACAGTATTAAGTTTTGTGCAGACCAGCTGCTCCCAGATCATGTCCCCTCCTACGCTCCAGCACAGTCAGAGAAGAGAGGAGCACAGAAGCGAAGGCTGATGGGGGCAGGACATGCAGTATGAAGACAGCCAAGTAATTTTACTTGCAGCGTCACTGTTACAGATTTTCATGTATTCCATGCTCGTTAGCAAAATGTTGAAAAATGCAGTGTTAAATTCCAGTTGTTTCTTGGGACTGTTTCCCTGAACTCTAATTACAAAAACAAGCCTGAAATCAGGAGCATTTCTAAGTCCTCAGGCAAGGAAGATGCATTTTCCATCACACACAGAGTTGAAAGGAAATGGGGATCCACAAAAGGAACCGAAATAGGCTTGGAGCCTTTCCCCGCTGCCCCGGCAGTTTTACAGTTATGTCTGGGGATTTTTAATGTCATAATGTGGTGACTGAGTTTTTGGAGAAGCCAAGCGTGGTGGGCAGGGGTCAGAACTGCGCGAGGAGCATCAGGGTTCATGGCAAAAGGTGTCATGTGGCTGCTGCGTGCTCTCCCTCCTCGGGAGGGAGGAAAGGAGTCAAGAGCTAAGCAAGGCACGTGCCCAGGATTAAAAGCCTTTCTGACTTTCTGCCTCTTTACTTCAGGAATTTTTGTGTAGAGAGAAACACTATCCAAAATGTTAAAGCTATAGAGTGCCTCTGTGTTCAACTATAGGTGAGCATCCCTCCTTGACAGTGGGCGTTTGGGACTACAGGTAGTAGTATCAGAGCACTCAGGGTAGTGTGGTGGTCTGTTCCACAGACAAGTCAAAGGTCATTGTGGTTTTTAAGGCAATACAAGTCTGTCGGACGTGGCATGACAGGGAATTGCTGTTTTGGGGCTTTTTACTGGCGTGATTCGTGGAGCCAGAAAAGCAGTGAGGAAATGTCCCTGGCACTTGTGCTCCAGAAACCTGCCTCGCTGACAGAGGGAAATACCGGCTGCTTTAGTGGAAGATGCAGGAAACCAAGTAGCTGCCAATTACAAACTGCTTGCAGGCACATTTTTTGTAACTTTGGCAGTTTGTGGCAGGCTACTGTTCTGAATTTGGAGCTTTTCTGCCCTAACAGACTGCTGATATCATGTTGCTTAAGAGATATCTAATTGCCTGAGATACATCTAATGTCTGATCATGTGTGGGCCTGAGAATGAATGCACCAATTCTAGTGACCTGCAGTGAGGTTATCTAGGAATATCAGACCTTTATTTTTCAAGTTTACTGCATGAAATCATACTGATATTTGAATAAAACATCCTAATTGCCAGTAAATGAGGAATCTCTCTTCCTATTTGTAGTTTGCTGTATTATTTATTATGCAAGGTGGTTTTTAAGGGAAGCAACCTGTTCTAGCAGTCAATCCAGGGCTATGTTAAAATTCCTATTTACAGCTGTGTCGTTGATTTACACAATGATCTTGAATGAATTGCTTATTCTGAGGAAAATTGAGGCATGCAGAAGAAAGAGGGAGTAATATCCAAAGCATATTGGATTCCCTGATGAAAAGCGCTGTGTAAGGGCTCAGAATGGTTATTTAAACCCACTGCAATTGAGTCCTGCTCCAAAAGGCCTATCGGGAGAAATTGCTTGTCGTTAAGTATGTAGCTGACGTCTTGTATTTAAAACTCCTGTAACACCTTAGTGTGTGCACGCAGCCACTGTGTGGGAGAGGAGGGTTTCTGGAGGGTCCCACAGAATTGGAAACATCTCAAGAGAAGGGAGCAGCTGGCCTCATACAGAGAAGTGGGTTTTATGTTGACTCTGAATGAGAATCAGGACAAACATCAGTTGTTAGAATGTGCCAATCAAGGGCATCTTGGTAAATTCCATGTAGAGAGAGATTTTAATGTACTGCTAGTGTTCAGTCAGTAACCAAAGAAATACTCGTCCGACAAAAGTGCTTCAGATTTCATGGTATGGGAAACCAATAATTATGAGATACAGTGAACAATACAAGGTAGAATTGCTAAAGGGATTAATTAGCCTTAGTCTAACTAACCACTATAATTGATGCAAATATACATCTGCAGCCTGCTGAGACATTAGATAGTCATCATCCACCTGCTCAATTTACCAGTGCTGCAGAACACAGCTGGCAGAATAATTTCTGGGGTTTTTTTTTCTGGAACTCCTTGAGCATAATTGGCTGTTTGTTCTCTTGTCGTTCAAAATGTTTTCTTCTTTCTTTTTCTTTTCTAAACAGCACTTCCACGATGGCAGAAAGGCACAACAACATATTGAAACTTGCTGGAAACAACTTGAAGCAGTAAGTGGGAACTTCTTCAGATGTGACATTTAAGTCATTGTCATACTGTGTTCATAGCGATGGTTCCAAACATTTGGACAAAAATGGTGTATGGGCAAAAGATGTACAAATGGGATTTTCGAAACTCCGCTGTCTGAAACACACTGGTAGACACAAAATAGTCTGTTTTAATAGTACATTTCTCTTTCTGTGGAATCTGTGTCTATCATTAGTAGCGTTTCACTTGATATGACTTGAGAAATATGCTGAGCGTAGCTGGAAATGCAGAGTCCCTAAGGGTCCTATTCAGATACTCCGCTGTAAGCTGAACAGCTTCATACTGTGTGAATAAATTGAATGGGGCATCTCTTGAGTAAGGTGCTGTTTCTCAAAAGTAAATACGTTGGAATTGTTCATGTGGTGCATGAAAAGTGAGACTGTAAGTAGAGGAGAGGATAAAGAAAGGGGACATCAGTAACCAAAAGTCCTACTTGCAAATGTATAAATCTCAGTAATTCCCTTGTTGTGCCTTATGAAAATGAGGGATTTAAGTGTTGGGAGTAGAAGAGATGCTACCAGGGAAAATTATTGAAATACTGGTGATGTTGGTAGGATCAAGCAGCCTGAAGAACAGAACAAAAAATGTGTTTCTGATAACTTTGGTTTTTGAAGTTCTTTAATGTGGAAATGTATTCCAGTGTAAACAAGCGAGTCCTAAAAGCTGGCAGCTGTTACAGCGGATCAGTGCAGGGACTGGTATTGATTTTAGGTAGATTTTGATATCAGGTTTCTTTCCCATAACGAAGGCTTCTCTTTTTCCTTTTCAGAGTAAGAGGCGGTTTGAGCGTGACTGCAAAGAAGCTGATCGAGCACAGCAGTATTTTGAGAAAATGGATGCTGACATCAATGTTACAAAAGCAGATGTTGAAAAGGTAAACCGGAGGGTGGAGAGATTGTTTGTTTGTAAACGTGGATGTGATGGGTTTAGTTCCTCAGTCCTGCTGGTCGCATAAACCCTCTGAGGCTCAATGCCTCTCAAGTCGGTTCACAGGTTAATAAGAATAGGGAGATCTCTGCAGAGACCTGTATTTGCATAACAATTCTAAACAGATACAGTTATCTTCAGTGAAGCCTCAGTTTAACGTGGCTGACATGGCTGGAATCCATGCTCGTCACAGATGGCACACAACTTTTATTTTTGTTTTTCAGTTGCTTTCTGGTTGCAATCATTTGTGGCTCTTATACATTGTTCCCCATTTAGTGAAGCTTTGAACCAGTGCTTAATTTGAAACATACATTTCTGTTTCAGCATATGTCTTGAAATGTTTCTTTCTTTAGCTGGATTAAAAATTGCAGAAGGATGCTTAAAGTTTAAATGTCCAAGTCCAGTGACATACCTGTAACTTAAAGAAGCAATAGAGAGGGAGAAAGTATGTTTAAATTGCTTCTTTTTTTGGTGTTATACATCTGCTCAGAAGATGCAGTAATGTACATCAGAAATGCTATATCACAGTGGGTAAGGGCAATTTTGTCTTCCCTGAGTTTGATTCACGTAGGCAGGAAAGAGCCAGGACAGTTGAAAAGTTTTTTTTCCTTAAGGAAAAAAAAAAGGCAGCAAAAAAAGCAGGTGGGGAAGCACTGAAGCTTAAAATAGACCAAACACTTTGCTGCAGGGACAGGAAAGGACACTGAATTATAGGTAAGGAATCTTCTGCAGTCCAAGACAGCCCTTGTAAGATGCAGTTTTTCTCCTCAAGAGGTCTGTTTCATTCTGTTCTCGGTTAATTCAATCCTGGGAAGCTATCAAATACAGATTTTACTTTACTCTGTGGGATCTCAAGGTGTTTCTGCTATGCTGAGCGTCATGGAGGTTGTGTGGCAGGATAGCATCAAGGATGCTGTTAGAAATGAGAGTAGTAAATTACAAAGAAGCTCAGAAAATTTTCCCAACATGCCGTTGCATATTAAAGTAAAAAATACCTCTGTGGTCTTGTCACTTGCTTGGCTATTAGTTGTAAATTCACCATGCAGATTTGATCCTTTGTTGCCTTCTGGATTTGCCAGGGCGCTTTGCAGATGAATGCATGTACAGGGTTGTCAAAGATGTAACACCACATGTGGGTTTTCTGGCAGTGGAGGATCATCTCTGCTTGATCTGTTTAAAGTGATTTTAGAATACTTCTTTTTTCATAGATAAAATTAGGACTTGCCCTAGATTTTTTTCAAAGCTGAGGCCATGTCAAAGGGATACAGAGACGTGACTTTCTATTTGAAATAGAGGGCTGAAACGCCTTACTTCTAGATAGCTTTCTAAAGCTGGCCTTTTCTGGTCAGAGTGAAAGGCTGTGTGTTGGTAGTGTATTAATCTGATGGCACTGGGTAAATTCTAGGCAGCAATCCCTACTCTGGTGCTTTTTCCCCATAAGGTGAGGCAGAGAGGCTTCCCTTCTGAATTTCTCTAGCTTTTTATTGTATGTATTTGTAAATTATTTATTGCGAAATGAGGCTTAGTGATATCTTCAAAGAGAAAAAGAAATCTGTTGCAGCTATGTGTGCTGGCTGATCTCTGGAGAAGGCATTAGTCGACTTTCCAGTCAGTCAGCGGGGTAGATAGAGAAGGAAAAGGTTATCAAAACGAGTGGAATGTGAAATAATATTGCCGAACAGAGAGAACAGTGTTTTCCAAGTGCATGTGTTAAACTGGGTTCATCCATGTCAGGCTGTGAATAATGCCCTTTCTTTGCTTCCCTCTGCCCGTGTGACTGGGACCGCTCTTACACAACTCCCCAGTGCAGAATAGGACATTGTTTAACCGGGCGCTGCTGCTGGGGCAGCTCTCGCCGACTCGCGCCGGGGAGATGCAGAAACAGCTCCGCCTCAGCTGAAGCAGTACGGTGCCTTTTCCCTCCTCCTCCTCTTGCACCGGTTCTGATTTCTCTTGCCCATTATGGCTTGGCTGCTGCGCTCTTCTTCCCAAAAGCACCCACGAAATCTGTGTGGTCAGGGAAGGAGACAATTTGGCTGTGTTCAGAGCCAAAGCTACTCACTCTGGAGGAACAGAGTGCTCTTGAAGCAATGGGGTCGGTTGTCCTCATTTCTTTGGCTTGAGATTGACACCTTGGCTACTTAAGCTTGTACCTGCAAATGTGAGCAGACACTGGAGCTATTTTTTGCCTTATGCATTATGTAGTAATGGAATTAAAATTCTGCAGTGATCACAATGACACATGCAATCAAAAGAATATATAGCTGCAATTCCCTGATGCACCTAATGCTAAGCTGTGAGGCTCTGAAATGCTCACATCGCTCCATCTCTCAGTTTGTGACAAGCGCAGCAGGAAATTCTGTGACAGAGCTGCCAGAAACCAGCACTTAACATGGCCTTGCCTAAGGGATAACTCTTGGTATCACAGTGTGCTGGGATTAAGTAACCAGAGCAGTGGCAGAGAAGCAAATTTTGTTACTTTGCTCCTTTTTTCTCCAGGACCATTTTGCCAAGGGCCTTGGGTGTCTGTTTAGAGGCAGAGCTGGATGTGCAGTGTGGGTTCCTTGCATCTAGGTCCAAACTTCTTCTGTAGGACCAGCTCAGGTGTGATACACAGAGGGCACGTGCTGTTTGTGCCACTCCTGTGGCCAGTATGGGCTCCATCATCTTTGCAGCCAGCCAGTCTGGTAGTTGTGCTCGGAGAGAGCGGGGTGTTCAGCTTTGTTTCCTCTGATCTCCTTTTTTGGTGACAGGAACATGGAGCTAAAGGCTGTGCTCAGTGTCTGCAGTGGTCACAGTCTCTATGCAGAAATCCCAGGGAGCAGATTAGGACCCCTGAGCTCCCTCCCTATGTTTGCATTGAGCCTCTGCATTACAAGCAGGGAACACTTGCAGACAGTGTTTACGGGTCAACACAAAGTGCATTTTGGCACAAAGGCTTTGTAGTGCATTTTGGTACAAAGGCTTTGTCAGTTCAGGTTAGCAAAGTCAAGGCAAAAAGGTGATTGTGAGGCGGAAAGCTGTGCTGTGAAAATACCCTTATAAACTAACAAAATGGTGCAACACAGCGATTCAGGGAAGCCTTGCAGGTATCCCTGCAAGCTTTAGTTTCATCTGGGTCACAGTGGATGTGTGCTTTAAAGCAGTTCTGTTGCAAAAACCACAGTGAAGCTGCTTCAATTTTTTGACCATTTGGGGAAATGGTCTCTGTCACCAGCGCGGAGCCGCTGTACATATAAGGAAGTGCTCTATTGTTTGTTCCTTCTCTTTAGAACTGCAATCACTAAAAAGCTGACATCTTTATGGGATAATGTGGTACCCAGTGGTGCCTTTGCAGACTTCTTGCAATTAAAAAACCATATCAGCTGGCTTTTCTAAAGCTTATTCAAAGTAGACTTTTCAGAATCTGTTTTTAAAGAGGGAAGTGGCTGAGGCTGACCATGAGAAGGGGCGAATGCTCTGCCTCTTGATTTGCACAGCAGTCGAGGGGGAGGACAGCGGTTTGAGGTGCTCTGTGTCAGGCAGGATCTGTCCCTTTGCTGAGGAGTAGCACGGTTGTACATTGGTAACCCGGGTAAAAATTTTGACAGGAAACAACTTGAGCTTTGAGCAGTAAGAAATGAGCTGTGTGTGAGTTCCCAGAACTGCTGTCCTGACGCTGGGGTTCATCACCTTGTTCTGTTCAGATGGTTCCATCTTGAGTAGTTTATGAGATGTCAGTTTTTTGTGGATGAGGAAAGTAGTGAAAGACACAGTGCAAATTTGACCTTAATTCTCACAAGTGGAGAAGCTTCTGACACTGCTAAAAACATGGGGTGGCTGTTTTCTTTTGTTATGGGGTTTTGACTGACTCATCTTTAGTAAGTCATGCCCAGAAAGGACAAGCTTCTATTAAGATTTAGTTGTATCCTGTGATATTCAGACATCGCTACTGACGGAGTGGCATTTTCCTATTGAATTTGCTTTCTTAGGTGCTTCCAGCTGCTTGAGTTGCAAGTCAGCTCTGTTTGAAATCAGAATTACTCCAAAACTATGCAAACTTATATCCAAAATTATTATTACAGAATAATCATTTCATTCTTTCCTCTCTTCTCTGTCCAATCCTTGCCAGGCTCTTCTCGGTGACAAACAATGATAGGACAAGGGGTAATGGGCACAAGCTGGAACACAGGAGGTTCCACTTAAATTTGAGAAGAAACTTCTTCTCAGTGAGGATGACAGAGCACTGGCCCAGGCTGCCCAGAGAGGTTGTGGAGTCTCCTTCTCTGGCGACATTCAAAACCCGCCTGGACGCCTTCCTGTGTAACCTCATCTAGGTGTTCCTGCTCCGGCAGGGGGATTGGACTGGATGAGCTTGTGAGGTCCCTTCCAATCCCTAACGTTCTGGGATTCTGTGATCCTATGTCATATCTAAAACCAAAAGAAATGAAAAGGATGATGATACTATTCCTGTGCTGACTCTCAGATATTTAGGAGTTTTAGATGTACTGGCCTTTTTTGTTTGGTTTGGTTTGGTTTGGTTTTTGGAGTGGAGAAACTGAGACAAATAGAAGTAATCTCAAATGTATTGAAATCCCTAGGAGCTCTGCCCAGTGCTCTGCGACTTTCAGATCAGGTTATGTCTGCCATGCCCAAGATTCCTGAAGTCCCAGAATAGTTTAAGATTTGCATAAAGCATCATAATACAATATCACCATGACATTCATTTTCTAGTCTGTAAGTGTATCTACAGAGAGATACTGGTGTTTTGTGCTTGAAGTTTCATTCTCTCCTCTTTTCTTATGGCACATTCCCTGGGTGCTCGCCATCACTTCTAATGCAACGTAAAAAGTTTGTATGTCCCCCCTTACCCAGCAGAAGACACGACCATGTGCATTGCCTTGGACAGCCATGAGCTGAATCACTGGCAAGGTCTTACTGGACAGAGATGTAGAAATACTGCTGCTT